CAAAATCGGTCACTCTGTCCAAGAGTTTGATAGTCAAATCAAGTCAAGGAATGGCTTTATACACCCCGAGAGGTGGATATTCAGCAACCACATAAACATAGTGTGTCAAAAAATACGTAAAACACAATAGTATGATACAGCAGTTAAAAGGATATGAAGAGGGACAGCACCAACCAAAATGAGTGGCACACCTGGGTGTTCATGAGGAATTTAGTGTAGTGTTTGACGCAGATTTCCCGTAGCAAGGTCTTGGTTTGTTGGAAATCTGGCGAGATAAGGAACAACAGACCGCCGGTAAGCTTCAGTGCGAGTCTTTATGAGTTTGTGAGTGGAACGGGTGGATGAGTGAGAAAGGCAGTCGCTAAGGGAGGAATAAAGAGGATGGGAGATATCAGATAAAATCTTATTAGAGAATGTTTTACAGGACTTGAAGTGATGTGTCACCACAAACTCTACTAGATGTTTCCGTGGTATGAGACTACAAACGGAGAGAAATCTGAGGGATCGGGAAATGAGTTTGAGGTCCTTGTTCAAAAGACCAGGGAAGATAACAGGGGACCCATAAAGCCAATGTGGCAAAACGCACGCAAAAACAAAACCTGTTATGAAATGGTTTGGAATGGAAAGGGATTTAAGGCGTAAAACATAAAAAGTGAGCCTCTCGACCGTCAAAAAAACGTCATTTATATGGTCAGACCAGGTGAGGTTATGATTAAAAATAACACCCAGGTATTTGAAAATCGGTTTTCGTACCATCTGCTCACTCAGGAAAGATAAAGGTGGGCTGGCGTTTGATAATTCATCAAACTTTTACCCTTTCAGAATAGAAAAAAATACGTCACTACATTTTGGGGGTTCATGCAGAGGTGTCTTTGTTGTGACCATTTAACTAGTCCGGTCACGTCTTCTTGCAGAGTCGTTTGTAATGATGAGTTGGGGTAGGGCAGTCTGAATATTATATCATCTGCATACTTGACGAGAATAGAAGAATTGCTCACAGGCATAGAGGAAATGTAGGCAGAAAATAGAAAAGGGGATAAAATGGCGCCTTGTAGTACGCCTATTGAGGAGGGCAGCAGTGAAGATGTACGTCCTTTGTAGCGTATGAACTGCTGGCGGTTTGAAAAATAGTTGGCCAAGGGTTCAATCGTAGAAGGTTGAACTCCTCCCGGAGAGAGGGTATTTAACAAAGTTTGTCGGTTAATCGTGTTGAAAGCATCACTATAGTCAAGAAAACATATGCGGACAGCCTTACTTTTCTTGTCCACGTTAGATAAAACATAGTGGGATAGGTAAGCAAGGGCATCCAGGGTACCACGGGGATGGGTGTATGCATACTGGTTAGGGTCAACAACATTGAATTGTGTGGACAGGGTCTTAAAGAGGAGCCTCTCAAACACCTTCAGGACAACTGAGGTGCAGGCAATGGGACGGAATTATGAGGATCCTTTCTTAGGCACAGGGGTGATAGAAGCTAGTCTCCAACAGTCGGGTATACGTTACTGCAAAATGTAGTCATTGAAAAGAGCACACAGTACAGGGGAAAGGAAGGTAGCACATTCTTTCAGGACAGTAGGTGAAACTCCATCGGGGCCGCCAGACTTGTGAGGATTAAACTGAGACAACTCTTTATAAATATCGACAGGTGCAACGTTGGCGACGGGGTCAATGGTGTTTACTTCATATCCATTAGTTAGGGCAGTGAAAGCGGTTCCGTCGTTGATGAAACTCCGGTTCAGACCATCTATGTCCACCTCAGCAGGTAAGCGGTGTGAGGATTTGATGCCAGAGGTCCGCATGAGGGCTTGCCAGGTCTCACGACTACCTTTGTTGTCAAGCCGAGCACGGGCGTATAAAGAGTTTAGCCTTTGAAGTTCAGCCCGGATGGATTTGGAAAGAGAGCGCACCGCATCTCGTTTTTGCATTTTGAAGGCACGTTCCTTTCTACTACGGTGTTGTTTGAGGTGTGGGGAAGAGAATCGATCGGGACGAATATATATTGTCTCTAGGGGGCAACAGACATCGTAAGAAAAGTTTAAGTTACCGCGGTCGCCTATCTCGCGGTGCTTTCGCCGGCGAAATTCTCAGTTGTGATTCACACAGTGATGAGCAAGTTGGCATTCCACGCGCAATAAAATGGAACACAATCAATTTCATGATTGTTCATTGCATTCTATTGTGCCGTCCGGTACTAACACCTGTTCCCCGGTACTGTCGTTCTATGTCTCGCACACAGCACTGCAAAGTCATTGACTTTGGCTTTCATTGTTGTTCCAACATAATCAATTGTTATTGTCACATTTGGTGAAAATAACCCAGGGCTATCTATTTACAGATTGGATAAACTTTTTCACGCATTCCGTCACTGCAAATTTAACGAACAATTCACAGCAACTGTGCCTTGGCGGGGATGAAAGAGCTTTCATCAATTTGTTTTTGTCCAAAATGCCTTGAATATATATATATATATATATATATATATATATATAACGTTAATAGAACAACAAACAGTACAGTGAACAACTTCACTCACCATCGACTAAAGATTGGCAATAAAAGACACGCGAACAGAGAACATTGGCCTCGTTGCTTCTTGACAGTGTACTGACGAAAACGGCATGAAATCCTCGATCTTGTGGAAGACGGATTATGATGAGGTCACACTTTCATAGTCCGGCAGTCTTTCACCTTTCATCTTCAGGTACAATTCTCGATTCGTGGAGTTAGCTCGAGGAGGATCTGAATCGAGTTTATCTGTCTCATCAATGAACTCATCAGTGATATTTTGCCTTCAGCATTTTCTGAATTTGGATATTTCGAGCCAAGGCATTTGTGCGACCACTCTCCTAATCAATTTGTTGACTTGGTCATTGAAGCAGCACTAACACACACGCGCCTATCATAGTTCTGAGTTTGAATCCCGAATGTGGTAAGAAATATGCCCCACTGAGGCGCTCCGACCAGAGAAGTAGCAGAATGCGGTGCTTCTTAGTGTATTGTTAACTGTGTGAACTGAGGGTTTGAGGCAAACCACTCATTGATAATCGTGCTTCAGGACTCTGACTCAGTATGTTATAGTTCAGTTCCGTTCAGCTTGTAAAACTATTAACCATGCACTGTCGTGCGCCAGTTTGGGTGGCTGTCGTTGGGCTGCCCATTTGGATGAATACTAGGAGAAGAAGGAAAGCTGAAGGTAGAGTAGAACAGAAAATAGAAAAGTTCGGTGGTCTAAGTTTGCAAAGAAACTGAGAAGATGCAGGAACGCCACTGTTTACGATATGCAGCCATATCATTCAGGGTCCCCAAACATTGGGTACAATCATCCCGAGGTCCCCAGTCACGGAGCCTAACGGGACCTATGTGACCCAGACTCCTGGTCAGGGTTTTCATACCCTCGTGCCAGGTCTTAGCTTGACCACCCTTGACTTTCTTCCACCCACCTCTTGCCTCGGCGAACATCGTTCGCCGTGGCAACCTATCTGATGACATGCGTAACACATGGCCCAACCATCCTAATCTATGGAGGTCAACCACTTACCCCAGTGGGTGACCGCGGATACCAAAACTCTGCGCCTAACCTCAATATTGTTTATTCGGCTGCCCCACCAGTTTCGTGTAATGTTGCGAAGACAGCGGTGTTCAAACACCGACAGTCTATCTTTATCCTGTTTTGTTAATGGCCAAGTTTCTGCACCGTCTAGCAGAACTGGCTGAACTGCCGCAGCATACACTCGGCCCTTAACAGACAGCCGGATGTCGCGATGATGCCACAAATGTCTCATGTTGACAAATGCCAACCGAGCCTTCTGTATGCGAGCAGACACTTCATCCGTGATGCGTCCACCGGGTGAGATGCGGCTGTGCAAGTAACAAAACGTATCCACTTGCTTTATTACTTCCAGTTCTTCCTCTCAGTATGTTCCAACGTGTGATTGTCACAACACCATATCTTCTTGTGATGTTACGTCGTTCTCCTTCATCCACAGATTGAGCCAATGAAGTGGTATCACAAACCATGTACCATGTCTTGTTCATCAATTTCACACATGTTCTTATTGTGGGTCACCTAAATTACCCAAATCTAACAAAATTGTTGACCTTGTAACTACCGTATGTGGGGGTAATTCACACACCTAACTGTACTATCATGCGAGTAGAAGGTATTCAGGTTAGTAGAGAACCAGCCTTTCCCGATATAGAACCTAGTGTTACCAAACGAGAAATTGATGCTCGAAACGATTGCATCCAAAATCCTTTTGGGTCGCCGTACGATTACATGGACTAGGTCAACGAGCAGTCTGATCTTCTGGTGTCCTGGTAAGAATTCACCAACAGTGTTATGGGACTAGTAAAGATCGTGTCAAAGATTAAACACATCATCTGTCCACATGTCGAAAACATCGATGATTAGCAGTCAAAAGAAGGGGGCTTTGCAAAACAATTTCTGCGTGTGATAGCGCATGAAATACCTACTGTCTACTGCGAAACCATCACAACAATTTAGTTCAGGAAAGCAAGTCGATGAACTAACAAACATTGTCACACGAGTTTACATCCCATCTAAAACATTCATGCAAATATATAAAGACCTCCCGAAAAGTCATGACCGGGGTTTTCGGCGTTACGTTCGGCAGGATGCATTTGAGTAACAGCAAGGATTGATGAATCAATATGTCCAGGTGATCACTACTCCGGCTAACACGGGGTTTGAACGTCTTCCGTTACAACATCACATGACACAACCCACACGAATCACAATTACTTCCCCTTCCCAAAAAAAGATACAGTCGTGATCATTCTAAATCAAGTTCAACTAAACTGTGCTTCCACAATCATGAAAACCAGGAATGATTTCATCCAACTGCAAAACGGGTTGGGGTTATTGTTCTAATTGACCTGGATAACTACCGACAAATCAATCTTCTTTTTTCCATATTGTCAAAATCCGTGGGAATCAGTGTCACAGATTTTTTAATAGGCCGCTTGGAAAAAGTGCAAAACATTGTCTCCATTCCAACATCGGTCTCGTGGAAGGCGATTGTGCACTTTCAATGTGCTTTAGGCAGGGAAGGAATGAACAAATTTTCCTTTGGGATGAATTAAATGAATTAGTAGACGTAATGTACGTGAACTTTTCGAAAATAGTTGTTCATGTAGACCACCAATTGCTGCTGCATAAGCTGTATGATATAAAGGAAAACATATTCGGTCAATTCAAAGAGTTTCTTCAACAATCTATCACAGCAGTTCCGGGTTGTATATTCGCTATATGGCACTATCAACGTCACCCACTGGTTCCACCGAAACGTGTGCCTGGTTCTCATTTTTATACACGCTCTGACAGACACTCTGGGACCACAAACGATAACTTTTGCAGTGTTTGCCGTAAGCGGAAATATAGAGATAAAGCTCCTGATCTCCTCGTTATTTCGAGAAATCTCAGGCTAGATCACAAATGGTCAGTCGAAAATGACATTGAATTCAACGCAGTGAAATGTACGATCATTTCGCTGTGCCAGAGAAATCGGTTTCCAAGCTATCTCAGATATCAAAATATTCCTCATTCCCCGAATGAGACCGATTTTATTGTCATCGTAAGGGACGATTAAAGCTGTCCCGAGGCGTCGTCCGTAGCTCTGAGTCATGTTGGACTACTTAAATGTAGCTCTTATCTATCTGAACTAATCCTTTTTCCAAGCTTGTTATCAGCGTACATTCGACCACACTTGTAGTACGTCATTTAGGCCGGGACTCCAGCGCCGCAATGTGATGGCAAGATTTTGGAAGGCTTTTCAAGTAAGGCTGTCAAAATGGTCAATTGACTGTATTCCGAAACCCAGATCGAAAAACTGTAATCATTGGTGTTGTACTATGTTGAGCATCACCTCATTCGAGAGTACTTAAATTTGGTCTATCAACTAACACAATTCTTATAATCCATGCCGTCCATTGCTCATCCTATCAGTCATTCACATCGGTGCTCCAGAAGTGTCAACTGTTTTGCCAGCTTTACACCTTTGTCATAAGTACCTCGAATTCCTCACCATCTCATGTTCTCTGTGCACCCATAGTGGGTTCTTTCTAGGTGAGACTTGATGAATCATTAATATGTGTATCGTCTCGAAATCCATAAAAGTGATATTTTTCATAAATGGACCCGTGATCGGTATTGCTCATCTCACTTGACACAGGACTCAACTGTTCCAACACCCTATGGGGGCAATAAAAGTGACATCTTCTAAAAGTTTCCCCCAATAAGGCTTTGACTTTGTATATGTGTGAACATGAAATCTGAGAGGTGGTCGGTCGAAATTGTCAACAGATCTGTCAACACTACTTTCAAGTAATTGTTGTGAATTATAATCGAAACTTTGAGAAAACGTTGAATCAGGCATCAAACTAATTCCGAGTGCATTGGCAAATGGTCCCAGTGGATCAGATCACGTGACGCCTGTATCGCAAACAGTTGTGGGCATCGACAAATGAAATCTGGATATCGAGTAACGGCTAAATATGGCCACAAAATGCATATCCTTGTAACGCAACGGATCATTGATTAATTTATTTTGAGAAGCAATGTTTGATAGATCAATCTAAAAGATTGAGAAACTTGATCAGAAATTAAAAATTGGACAGCTGGCTGAGAGTTTGCGAAAAAATACCTCCAGTAAAGTGAAACGTTATGGAATTCAATAATACTGAAACTAGTAATAATATTATTAGTATTGATAATAATAATAATCGACTATTGATTACTGTCCCTATTTAATGGGAAATTTTGCCTGATCCTTCGTTACAAAGACACAATATTATGGCGCCGGCCTTCACACGAAACTGGTACCATGCATCTCAAACTTAAGCCCCATCAGCACTGTGTGAAGGACAAGACAAACTTTGACGACCCTATTGAATCCGTTCCATACGC